TACTGTTGACACTTAGTTAGGGATAGTTTCCTATTGTTTAAGGTTGGTTTTGGAAGGAGGTGTTCAAGTTTGGACATCTCTTTCAGATGACTTTAAGGTTTAGTTTGAATAGTTATAGTTAAGATGTGACATTAGTAGATTATTATAACTTCTTGTAATTTGCCCATATGGTTGTTAATGATAGATAATTTACACTGTTAAGTTTTAATCCTCTTCTAGACTAAAAGGGGAATTGTAGGGAAAATGTTAACCACGCCCTCTTGGGGGCTGGCACAGGTGACGCAGACCATGCACACTGAGGTGTGGTCAGAGCGACTTAGCAAGACCTTAAATATGAGGGTCGCCTGCATGTGGCTCTCTCTATTCCCTAACCTGCCTGGGTGTATAAGACTGACTCTGTCTCGTGAGTACTTTCCCAATAAAACATCTGCTCATCAAACTTGCCCTGACTCCCTTGCGGTACTCATTAACTGGGCCCCACAAGATCTATATTTTCTTGGTTTGTCCACTGAGTTCATTGGAAGAGAGATTTGTAATTTAAAAGTTTATATTCCTAATAATTTTCATTTCAACAAATACCTTATACCCATATCTGGTTTCTTAACAAGGTGCTTAGAATCTGTTCAAATTAAAGGGATAGTCCATATTTAGAAATATTAACTGAGTAGTGATTTTAGTATTTTCTAATCTTTAAAGTTGTTTAGGAAAAATTAACACTAAAGGTATTTGTTCTCTGTTTCCAAGAATTGTGTATATATCTCAAACACATGAGAAGTGTTAGATTTTTTCTATTCTCATTATCTACACATTTTAGGTATTGTTAAGTTTTCAAAAGTAAAATCAACATATTTTGATAGAATATAGGGTCCTGTTGCCCACAGAGCATTAGCAGACGTGTCCATGCTCAACAACGGTTGTTGCCCTTCTTTCGGGGATTTGGTAAAGTCCACATGCCAGTTCCTCCTCTTCTTGGCTGCATTCATACTCTGTGTATTTTTTCATGTCATGCTTCTTCATCTGGGGACTGATGCCAAACACTGGATACTCAAGCAGCAGACGGAGCCCCCCACATCCCTGAATTGACTCTTGCCTCTTTGTTGTTCTTTGTTAGTTACCACTGCACAAAATCTCTTAGCAGTTTGAACTCTCAACTGTGGTAGACCAAAATTATTACTACCCAGAAACCGGCTGACCCTGGATCTCGACCATGTCTATGCCCGTTCTGATTCTCCTTCTAAGATGGAAAAGTCTGGACAAGGTAAAGAGTGTCCTATTGTTTCTCAGTCTTGCTCTTACTCAGAATAACTCAGGGTTTCAGGGACCTTGAATCTCAGACAACTGTTTCTTATTGTCTCTCTATTTACAATGGTGGATTAGATCTTATGCTAAGTTTGAAAACTTTCCAAGGAAAGAGCCATTGTGAAAGCTTAGCATCCATGTACCCACGCACCAATCATGTCATCTGTCACGTGGACAAGGAGTGCTTTTCCCGCTGCTGTGCAAAACTCTCAGGCCTCACCCTCTGAGATTTGAGGCCAAAGCACAACATACACAGCATAATTTTCTCATCTCAGGGGTTTAGGAAGATAGTCACTGTGAGAATAATAGTCCTATATAACTAGGAAAAGTTAATCTTTAATTACAGATATGGAAACTGGAAGTCAATTAAGGAAAAGATAAAAAGGATTTACTGAATTTAAAATTTCAACTTTTTTTTTTTTTTTTGTTTTTTTTGTTTTTTGAGACAGAGTTCCTCTATGTAACAGCCCTAGCTGTTTTGGAACTCTGTAGACCAGGATGGCCTAGAAATCACAGAGACCCTTTTACCTCTGCCTCCCAAGTGGTGGGATTAATGGCATATGCCACTATGCTCATCCACAAAAAATTCAAATATTTTAAATATCATCTGTTCTTAACTTTTCCAATTTTACCCCATTCAATAAATAGGAGTAAAAATAATGAATAAGCCACAGAGATAACTAAATATCACATTTTTTTGTTTTTAGTACACAAAGCTTGGAGTATACGTTGGAGGCTTAATTATTTTATTTGTATTTTATCCACTTTTTTTTTTTTTTACTGAAATGACACTATATGTTTTTATCACATGAGACAATATAGTGAAATATATACATATTATGGGAATGTTAAATGTAGCTTAAACAAATATGTTGTTTCACTATCATTAATTATTATTATTATATTTTTGGTGATCATGTAACTTTCACATTTTATATTATTGAAGAATCTTTAACCATAGCCAATCTGCTGTACAAATTGTGTCATAAAATTTATATAGTTCCATATCCCTGTGAGACTATATTATTCTTTCTGTGTAATGAATTGTACAATTATGTCACCATAACTGCAGTTTTCAGTGGGAAAATGACAATATACACAAGTGGCTGTCTATAGAAAATTGTGTATGGATATATGGAGAGAAATAATTAATGATCTCAGAATGGAAAATTATTAATTCTGGTACAAATAATTTCTGATTTAGGAGAAATCAGATATAGAGTGGAAAACCTTAACTGTGAAATACCCCAAACTTAATATTTTCAATAAGATAAAGAAAGAAGTGTTTAAATATTCAAGTGAAAAATTCCTAGAATTTCCATAATGTATGAAGAATTATCTCATACATATTCAATTATGAAGTTAATTACAAATCCTTTCTACACACTTTGAAAAGTAAGCAGAGAAGTGTGCAGCATGTGAAAACAATGATATACATATGTTGATTTAAAATGTAAAACAATGGATGCCAGAAAACAGTGGAATGACATAGTTTAAATATTGAAAGACAAAACTATCAGCCTAGAATTCCATATTGAAATATCTTTCAGGAATAAAAGAACAGGTATTTTGGGAAAAATGGAAACTAAAAACAAACCATCACTAGCAACTTGCACTTTAATCTGTGTTAAATCAGGTGGAGAAATAATAAGACTGAGAAGTAACCCTACCTGGATTAATGCTTTACTGTAAAGTTACAATAATCAAGCCAGGCAAATACTGCAAATCCCACAGATAAGTCAGTGAAACAGTTGGAAGCTCTGACAAAAATTCCCTTTAGATATGCAGTCATCTGACTTGTCACAAAGCTGCTATAGTTCTGCAGTGACTAGAAATCCATGTATAAAAACTGAGTGTGTTGGGGATGGAGAGATTGCCTAGTAGTTAGAGCACTAGATGTTCTTCTAGGGGACTCAGGTTGGATTCTCAGTACCCACATGGCACCTCACAAAGGTCTGTAGTTCCAGTTCTTAGGGACCCATCACCCTATTCTAGCCCTGGAGGACACTGCATGCATTTGACACACAGACATACATGGGGACAAAACCCACATATGCATAATTAAAAAAAAGAAACCATGAATGTGGCTTCAGCTTATACAATATATTGTATAAATTACTTTGCTTACACTGAACTACGTGTAAAACTAAAACCATAAAGCCTACAGAAGGAAGAGAGACTATCATCATGCCCTGGACGCAGGAAAAGGATAAATTAGACTTCATCAGAAATTCAACTTATGTTCCTTAAAACACACTATTAAGGGGAAAGTGTAGTGGTGCATACCTGTCATTTCAGCACTCGAGAGGCTGAGGCAGGAGGATTATGAGGCCAGTATGGGCTATAAAGTTAAACCCTGTCTTTAAAAAGATACCATTAAGCCCATCAACAGGTATGTCACAAACTGTGAGATAGTGATTGTAAAGCAGTATTCGGCAACAGACCTTTACCTGGGATGCATACCAAACTCTTACAAAATTCCTCACCAGTGAACATTCATTAGAATGGCTAAAGTAAAGCCAGTGATAACAATGGGCAGAGAGAGGTCAGGAAAGGCCAGGGGAGGGAGGGGAAGAGAGAGAGAGGAACTGCAGGACAGGTAAAGGGATGATCAGATGGATATAATAAATATTGGCATAGTAAAATGTCAACTGCATTGATAGACTGGCAAGTGCATGTCAATTAAGATTATAGGATTCTCTTAACTTCTCCTTTTATAAAAGAAAAGTATCAGTGTCTTGTTTATGCCTGCTGTTGGAACACAAGAATGGAGGTGTGAGAGTAGATTTCGGAGTGCTTGTAAGAAAACTCCAAGACACGAGTCTTGTGACCTCCATTTCTTTAAAAATATTAAATTACCTCTGGATTATGCTTCTGTGCCCTCCCAGGCCTAGTGGATTGGAGGGGTTTACTTCAGATTATTCACTACATCTGGTCATTGTTGTTTGTTTATTTGCCGTGATGGAAAACATGTTTTACCGTGTGTGGCTTGCCCACCACATGCAGGCTTGCCCTGTGATTGTACAGTTCACTCATGTGTCTCCTCTTAACCCTCAGATATAAAGTGTCTGATGCTTTGAATAAAGCTGGCTATTGCATGAGACTTTATAAATTCCACTCTATGTATGGGCCCCATTCTCCCAGGTTCCACAAAAGTTGTTTCAAGTCTGACTAGATGGCATTGACTGTGTGCACCTATAAGCTGGCTGCTTCTTAGGCTTTGAGCTGTGAAACACACACACACACACACACACACACACACACACACACACACACACACACACACACACACACAC